GTAATATTGAAAGGAGGGGCCGGTCTTATTTTAATTTTATATAAATATCCGGGCCTCGTCGTATACCTCATTTTATGACAAAATAAAACTACTACAAAAATTAATAATAAGTAATGTACTTTGTGATGTATTGTAACTATATTTGGTCTGGCAATGTATGCATTTCTTCTGAGATTTCCTTGGCGTTAGCAAAAAAGAATTTTTTATATCTACTGGATTGGATAATGTATAATCCGTAGAAAATGAAGCGACTAATTCTTGCCCTATTGACTGAGATAATGAAAACTCATCGCTTGGAATGTTGATCGGTGATATCGGTGTAGAGGTTGAATTTATATCATTGAAAAAATACTCAGACTCATCGAAATTGTTTAACATGTTTATTATAAAAAATTGTAGAATAAATAATTTTTTAAATGAAAATTAATAATATTTTTATTCCTATATATAGTAGCAGAGAGAAGCTTATGGAGAAGGGGGGGGGGAGTATTTTTCGTAATAAAAAAATTATTTTAAGGAAATATAAAACTTCCGTTTTTTAAAGAAATTGTGTAATATTTAAAGTCTTTTAATACTGTAATTATAAATAAAAAAAGCTTTATTATTTTATTCTACATTAATCACAATAGTGTTGAAAATAAAAAATAATTTTTTTTTAACCCTTGAAAATGAAATATTATCATATAATTTCTTATAGCGTGGTGGCTGGTGTGTTATATAAATACATATTGTAAAAAAATCACATAATGTAATAAAATAATAATATACAATATCTTTAAAAAAAATATTTATAAAAAGTTTTATTGATGATTTATATAAACTGAAAGAGAGAAAGAATTAATATGTTGTAACACATTTTCATAATGTGAAAAAACATTCTTATATAGATTGTAAAAACATTTTGATAAAATTTTTTTAATAATAAGATAAGAAGAGTTTTTAAACTTTAATGAAGATTTACGTCAAAGTTATATATCGAATATAATTTTTTTATGTTTTGGACCCAAGTTTAAGTGGGAAAATGAGAATAAAAATTTTCTAAGATTTTTAGAATAATTTTTTTTTTAAATGCACATTATAAATTTTTTTAAATTTAAAGTATTATTACAATATATTAATGTTACTTTTATTAGTTATCTAAAGAATGGAAATCAGGATAAGAAATTTGATAATTTCTTAATAAACATAAGTGAAAGAAAATTCGAATTTAGGGTTTTCAGATAATTCTTATTTTTTTTTGGTTTTAAAATTAAATAAAACTTAAAATAACGCATACCAAAAATCATCGAGATGTGCCACCAACCATTCCATAACGGAAGCCCCCACACTTCAATTTAACTTTCCGTAATTATTGTAAAAACTTGTTGAGAAAAATACATCCTTTTTTAAAAAAACTTTTAAAAACTTGAAAAATTTTTTTGAGAAAAACATTATATTTTTAAAAACTTCCGGTAATTAACTTACATTAAAACCTATAATAATTCTTTCTTAAATTTGCGACAATTTTAATTTTAAACTTCTATATTTTATAATTCTTTTTAAAAAAACTATATTTCCATTTTTTTAAATGTCAAATTTTACTATCGCTAGTATTTTGAATCTATCTCCAGTTTCAGGTGTTAATATAATATTCTATTATTTACTAACCTAATATATTTTAGGCACTACTAGCACATTCCTCCTTTCTTTAGCCCTGAGTCTGAAAATATTTAATTTTTTTTAAATAAAAAGCATTTTAATTTTTATATTAAATTTTATAGTATCTTCTTTGGTTTATTCTCAGTTAACTATAATTTTGGATTTTATAAATTAAACCATAACTCGACCAGATATAAATTTTTTAATCCCGAATCTGACTTGTTTGCAGGGCTATTTTATCTAACAATAAAAACAACCCCGGGTCTGAACCAAGGGTCCGACCACGGGTCTGAACCAAGGGTTTGTGCTCGGGGTTCGTGCTCAGAGCTGGTTTAGTCGATTTTTAGACCAAAACCCCGGGTCTTGGTTATATACAACCAACCAATTAACAACACTAGGTAAAGCACAAGTGAATGTAGAATACAAAGGGAATTCACATATTTTAAACGCAATAATCATAAACATCAATATGACTTTGTTAGATCTGTAAAAACATTTTTAAAATATACTTGAAAGATTCATAGGCATGATAGATGCAGATTAATATAAAACTGCGATCACATGAAGAAATCATAAAACAATATTATAATGACTATAAAAATAAAAACAATATTAAGTATAAATAAAATTGTGAAATTCATGATGAAAGTATATTATCTAAAGAAATTCTAATAGCTAAATAAAACAATGATAATAAACATACCTAATATAACACATAATGTAAATAAAGGGGATGAAACTCACACAGATAACATTTTGAAAATAGTTGATTCCAAATCATATTTTATAAGATTTATATTTAAAAAAAGTAAAAGAATTTGAAGTCTTAATTCAATTAAAGATGAAAAGATTTAAATTTAAAAATTCCTAGAAATTAACATTACCTTATTTTACTACATTATATTAACTTAATAAGTTTTTTTAATACTTTGGTTTTAAATTATTATTATTAACTTATTAAACATATTGTTAAATTGAACTTTATAAAGTATATATAGATATAAAAATAGTGTGATAAACAGTTAAAAAACATTAAATAATAATATATATAATTTATTTTCTCTATACCCTGACTACTCTAATATTAATATTATTCTGGTAAAATTTTAAATCACTTTCTATTAATTCACAAATTTATAGTTACAATAATAAATAAAAATATTACTTTTTGGAAGTAAGATGTTATTGTCTTTTTTTGCAACTGGGGTTCAACTCCATTTGTGATATTATATGGAATATCACAATTTAAAGATACCCAATTATTATTATCTCTTTTGATGGCTACCTTTGTAAATTTCATATCAGCTGGCTTGACATGAGGATGTTTATGTTTATAATGTTCATGTATCTTGTCACTTCTTATTTTAGAAGTTTTGCAATTTTTAATATTGCACTTAACTTTAAATATGGTTTTGTTACTTGGCATCTAGAAAGAAATAATTATTATAATATAATTTTTTACACATTATGTTTTTTATTATTCTTTGCTTGCTGATATATGTTTTTATGCATGACTCAAAAAATTACCTAAAATTTATCCTGCTAAAATCTATAAATTTATTAAAAAACATAATATAAATATATTAACCTCTAAGAAAAGTACCAAATAGGAAATGTGTAAATATTAACTTGATAAAATGCTAAATGAAAATCGTTGACAAAGAAAATTTATATTATTTATTAATTGACAAATATCTTTACTTTAATTGACATTTTTCAGAAAATCAAACGATAACCATCATAATCGTATCAATTAATGGATTAAAAAAAGATTATAATTCAAATCAAAAATTACCCACCAAAAATCAATACCTACCCCCAAAAAAATAATGCCTACCCCCAAAAAATTAATATCAACCCCTTAAAATCGATACCTACCCCCAAAAATGCTAATATATTTTGGAGGCATTTGTCTCCTACCCCCCCCTGCCATGTAGACGCTGTTGGGAACGATTACACATTGATTTGACAGGCCCCGTATCTGGAAAATATTGGTTAATTTGCGTAGACGCTTTTACCAAATGGGTTGAAGTTGCAATTTTAACACATATTAATTCGGCGAGTGTAATAAATAATCTGCGTAATTATTTCGCTAGATTTGGGTTACCTCGCTACATTGTCTCAGATAACGGTACTCAGTTTACTGGATCTGAATTCAAAACGTTTCTTTTTAAAAACAATATAAAACATTTTAGATCGGCCCCTTATAGCCCCAAATCGAATGGTTTGGCTGAACGATATATACGGACGATAAAGACGCGTTTCTATGCTGGAAGGAGATGTGGGACTCCGGACCAGTTAAATTTAGCAAATGTTTTAATTACTCACCGTAATACTCCCAATGCAACTACTGGTAAATCTCCTGCCGAGATGATGTTTGGAAGGTCGCTTAGGACGACATTGGATCAGTGGAAATTATCAACGAGAGAAAGGACGGAAAACGCTCTATGGAAACAAAAGTACTACAAAGATAGAAGTGTTGAACCTCGGGAGTTTGTAGAGCAGCAAAAAGTTTGGATAGCAAACGAAAGGACAGCAGGGTGGCATGAAGGAAAAGTGTTACAACGAAAAAGCGCAATATTGTACGATGTGGAATCAGAGGGGATCGTTAAAAACAAGCATGCAGATCAATTGAGGGATGCACATACACAAGAGAAGGAAATACCCGTTACGTTGACCGAAGAAGTGGAAAAGGCAGAACATGAGAATACAACTCTTGAAAAAAGAGTTTCGAAACCCCCATTACGATATCACGATGAATTCAATTTATAGTGGGGAGAACTGTAATATAAATTGAATTTAAATTGAATATAATATTAACTTTTCGTTTGTAAATTATATAACCTGAAGGATTGAATTCATGATATATATATACGTGATATTTTGTATTAAATTTACTTTTACTTTTACTTACCTTTTATTTAATAAAACACTTCAAGATACACTTGTTTGATAAAATTATCTTATATACTAAAGTGTTTAAGGTTTGAAAAAATGTATGTAAATAAAATTTAAATTTTTGTTAGATTATTTAAATTAATTCTAACCTTTTGCTATTTAGAATAGAATATAACCTGTTTGAAATAGAATACTTTGCAATTCATAATTCATAAAGCCCTTTTATATTTTTTCACAAATTCTTGCTAGGGGTATGGAATTTATCTCTCTCTATCACCCTCCTCCCACTGGCTACACGATTAACTCTATCGTATCCTGCACTTATATAATAGCCATGAGATAAAATTTATTTATAATCTATGTCTACGACAAAAATTTACAATCCTTTTTATATTTATTAACGTAACTCGATTTATCCAGAAAAATAAATTAAATGTTTTAGACCTTTAAATTTGATTCGAGATTATGCCATTTTTACATAAAAAATGAGTGCAAGCTTGACAATGAGGCAATTTCTGTTTTCTAATCATTTATGGCAAATAGAACATATGATTCAGATAGATGTCTAAAGCTACTAAAAAAAAGTTTGTTGTTAAGGAAGTTTTAGGAAATTATGATATGCCTGAACCCCATCAAAAGATAGTTAAAGTAAATAGTTTTCAAATTATTCAAACAAGTAAAATTATAGGTAATGAAAAGTATTGGAAATAATTTACACGAAGTCATTGATTCTGAAAGTAATATATTCATCGTTAGTATGCCCACAAAATTCAGAAAAAATATATGGATTATTAGAGGTATAATTTATAATATTCTAAAGGTTTATAATCATTAGTAACTTAGGAAATTACCTATTAGTTGAACCTATAATTGAAGGCAATAAGGTGAAAGCAGAAATTGTGGCTATATTATTTAAAGATCAAATCAAAAACATTAAAAAATCTGGATTTTGGTAAGATTTTTGATAAAATCAATAAAAAATATATAATTTAAGCATTTTCTAATAAATAATTGATATTTTAATTATTCTTACCCCTATTTCTATTTATAAATTTATACTTCTTTAATAATTCAGGCCTCATGGATTTATTGAAAATGAAATAAATGGTGAAAACAATGAAAATGAGGAAAAAAACCAAAATGATGAAAATTAATATTTTGTTAATCAATTTCTTTGAATAATGTTAATTGCAAAAAATTGATACTTTTTTTTTAAATTATACTTTAATCTTGAATAAAATTTCCTAAGAAGGTGAGTTACATTTTTTGTGACTGTAGTTAGCTAATTTTTGTAAAAAAACTTAACTATTGTAACAACAAAAATAATAAAAAAAATTTATTTTGTATGATATCTCAATTTTAAATGAATGATTATTAATTATATTTTCTTACTTATGTCAAGTAGTGTTGTTAAACGGCTTGATTTGATCCGATTTTTAAAAACGGCTAACTTAACATTCCAGGAAAATATTGCCTAAGTGTTGAGATTTCGCCAATAGATGTTCAATCCTATGTACCATCTATGAGCAAAATCTTTAGGCTAGCATAATATTTTTCTGGATAAAATATTAAGTTAGCCGTTTTTATAAATCGGCTCAAATTGAGCTGTTTAACAATACTAATGTCAAGTTCTCCTGTATAACATTTATTTATGAAAGCCTGATTAAGTTGCAATGTAACTAATTACTTTATAAAAGTTACTTCTATTTTAACAACAATAACAAATTTACCAGTATAAAATTTTTTTAAATTAAAATTTAAAAATTAATTAATTACAAATAATTGCTATTTTGAAAATTAATTTGAGTTATACCAGTTAATTTTTATAAGGTTCATTTAAATATCTTTTTAGTAATTTAGAATTTTTTAAATAATTTATTTTTAAAGATTTACAGCAATATAGGATGATGTTAATTTATAATGGCTTTCTTCCTTTACCCAATTATTGGTTAAGAGGTATCCACGTGTAGTTTGGATTACATAACTGGGAAAGGTGTACTTAATGCAATTATTACCTTAAACTATTTAAAGAATAACTTTTTATTAATTTCTATTTCTGTGCAAGAATACCTGTTTCAAAATGAAATTTTTTTATTTGGGTGAGGCAAAAAAAAATTAAAAAGCTTAGCATCAGTGGTGAGTTGCTTGAAAACTTGGTGGGGTGGGTACTATTTTTATATTAGCAGAAAATATAATAAAGAATATTTTAAAAATTATATATATGAATAAATTCTATAATGTATTATATTTTAAAAATAATCTAAAAAATTTAATACATCATTGAAATTTATATAAATATGATTAAAAACAATTGCCATAAATCTTTCATTTCATTATGCTGCATTTTTCTTTAAAAGGATTTCATTTAGGCAAGATGATTTATTTTACATATTTTGATACATGGATCTAGAATCTATTCCAATATTGAAGGTTCATAATATTTATGAACATTAAATTTGACAAATTATTCTCTTAAACTCGTTTGTTTTTCTGCCATGATTTCCCTCTACACACTTGGAAGTAGGATAAAGTAATCCACACATTTAAAGAATTTTTTCATCAGGAATATCTACACAGAGATATTGTCGTAGTCCATCATATTAATTTAATTTAAATCTTTGGCAGATTATTGCATTTATTTTCGTCAGGTCATGCAAATATTAGGCCAATTTCTTTTTGAATAAAATGTATCTCGAAAATATTTCAAGGCTGTGTCCTAAATGTTTTGAAAAAACCTCAAAATTTGTAGATTTTCGCAAATTAATAAAATTATGAAACATGTTCAAAATCTTTCATTATTTTTTTTACAAAAAAAACGAGAATAAAATACTAAAAATAACGTCATTTAATATTACTAATTTATTTTTTCATTAAAATTACCCAAATAAATAAATTTGAAAAATTTTTTATCAAATTTATTAATTTAAAAAAAATTTTTTTTTTAATAATGTCGAAAAATGATTTAGTTAGAACACGATTTTCATTTTACATTATAGCTTATGTTATTTATTTCTTCAATATTTATAAATATCATTAGATTTGGGACACAACGGTTCCAAGTCAACAGGGTTGAAAATTCGACGCATATCTAATACAGTATTATTATAAATTTATTCGTATTTAAAAAAAAAGGATGATTAAATAGAAGTCATTTTGGAATGTTGGCTCTATTAATTATTTCTTCATTTTTTTAAAAAATCTCAATTTTATTTACTAAATGTGTAATATCAATAAAAAAAATTAACTAATATACCGATTTCTTTGGTGGACAAATTTACTTTGTGTTGTTAAAAGCCCGATTAAGATTTTAGCCAATATTATGTAAACATGGAGATTTTGCGCATAGATATAAGAAAGGTTTGAACCTCTATTCTCGAACCTTACATATTATTTTGAGAAGAAAAGTAAGGGATCCATAGGATATAAATATAATGACAATAAATTGGGGAAATTATAGGTACATAGTTATATAGGGAGAAAGAGTATTATGAATATATAAAATCAAATTATTAATTCGAAACTATATATGTAAGAAGAATTAATTTGAATATTAAAGGGGGAACTTTATAAAAAGAAAATATAGGAAATGAAATAAGGGGAGATTGCTGAGATTCAAATAAAGATTTATATAGAATATATTAATTTAAAATATATAATAAAGGGAAAAAAAGAAATAAAGAAAATAATTTAAAAAAAATACATATATATATAGATAGGATAAAAAATTATAATAGATTAACCAAATAATTAGTATATGGAAATAAATTTGGTAATAGGTGATAAATAAAATAAGAAAAAAAATTATCGGAATAATAGTTATAATAAAATTAGAACCTAATACAAAAGGATTGTGAGGAAGGGAATAAAGAATAATAACTAAAATTTTAGGAGTTAATAAAGGAGAATAAGAAATTAAAGAAGTTTGTTTTTATTACAATTGTGGAGCCAGAATAAATTAGGCGTATGACAAATAAGCCTACAATTTAGGAAAATTAAGGTAAAGGTATAAATAAAGAATTGCCTTTATCATAATTTATCAGCCGGAACAAAATATAGGCGTGAGTCTTAGTAGAGATAACCCTATATTTGTAATTAAGGTAAAGGAAGGAAAATAAGGGAAATTATTATATTTAATTCTGGTTGAATAATTTTTATAGGAGTGCGTCAGAGCACATATAAGCCTACATTACTATAATTGTTCTGGTAAAACAATGGAATTAGTGTACATCATAGTACAGATAAACCTAAATCAGATATAAATTTAGTAAAACACGGAATTTCCAATATACGAGAAATAATAAAGATTATATAACTAAATTTTAGGAATAACTCGGAACTTTGAGAAAAAATTAGAAGGATGATAATTCTATTAGGATTAAATTTTCTTATATAAAATTTAATAAAATAATAAATTAAAAGAAGGAGTGAGAATCAAAATGACGGATTTTGATAGAATTCTCACAATTAGGGAATAATGATTTTAAATTGAGAATCATATAAAGGGGGTAAAAGGAAGGATAGATATGGAAGGCGAATATATATTATCATGGGAATATTTTTAGAAATTATGGGAAAAATAATTATGTAGTAAAGAAAAGTTAAATATTGAAGTTTTGAAATGAAAATAGTAAAGAAAGGAAATATCAGAAAAGATTTAAATGTTTGGGAATGTAATATCTTGGAATGGTAATTTTGGAAGATTTTAGAGTAATTATTAGGGTTTGTATGGAGATATAGAGATATTGAAGAACTATGAGGTATGCCCAGGCATGAGGGGTAATGAAGAGGAAGAGAATAAGAAAAGAAGTTAATCAAGCAGTTCCAATGACTAATAATGAAAGAATAAATGCATTCAAAATATAAGTATAGTCGTAAGGGTCAAAATATGTAATTGAATATTTGATTTAGGAGAATCGGAAGAATAGAATAATTGAATTGAGCGTTGGGCAAATAACATAGTTGGGCGAATAATTAGAATAAGTATTCAACTCGAAGGATTCAAATTGAATAAAAAAATAAAGTAGTAAATAACTAATACGAAAGGTACAATAGTAGTATTCATCGAAGAACGACTCTAATATTGGAATCATTCGAATTGAAAAAAGGGGGAAAGGTAAAAGATGGAGATAGAAGACAAATTTAAGAGTAAGAAGAGGGGCAAATAACATAGTTGGGCGAATAATTAGAATAAGTATTCAACTCGAAGGATTCAAATTGAAAAAAAAAATAAAGTAGTAAATAACTAATACGAAAGGTACAATAGTAGTATTCATCGAAGAACGACTCTAATATTGGAATCATTCGAATTGAAAAAAGGGGGAAAGGTAAAAGATGGAGATAGAAGACAAATTTAAGAGTAAGAAGAGGGGCAAATAACATAGTTGGGCGAATAATTAGAATAAGTATTCAACTCGAAGGATTCAAATTGAAAAAAAAAATAAAGTAGTAAATAACTAATACGAAAGGTACAATAGTAGTATTCATCGAAGAACGACTCTAATATTGGAATCATTCGAATTGAAAAAAGGGGGGAAAGAAAGTAAAAGATGGAGATAGAAGACAAATTTAAGAGTAAGAAGAGGAAAGTAAAAGAAACACGATGGGGAAAAGGGAGAAGAAGGAATTGAAAAATAGAAAAGACAAATAATAGACAAATATAAAAGTTGATAAGAAAGGATTAACAAAAGTACATCTAACTCTAAAGAACAGAATAGAATTCTGAAAGCGAAAATAAAGAATCGAATTTTGTTATATTTTATATATTATAAATTTTGGATTTTCATTTTCCTTCACCTTAATTAGTCACGATTATTTGTAAATTTAAGTTATATATTTCCTATTATAAAATTTTATATAATTCAGTTTCAAGATCAGAGAATGGTAATATTAATTAATAATTTCATCTTTTCTTTAAAATAAATTTTTCAATGCGGAAATATGTATAAAAATATACCATATTGATATACACACAAACCAAATCATACCATACTGTATAATATATGCACACCAACATAACATATTATTTTCTGATACAAACACAAATAAACAAATTTTACGTTATTGTAACAATAATCACAATAAACCTAACCTAAACGCGACAACTCACTATTAACGAAAAAGGGGGAATAATAGGAATTGAAGGAGGCTTTAAATTAGTGAAGAGCAAAAATTGACGCCAAACGAGAAAAGGAGAGGTTAAAATACGAAAAAACAAAAGATTGATATGAAGCGAAAATGGTGAACAAAAGAAT